GAACTCATTGTTATCTACTGTACAGGGTACGCCGTATCAATCGCTGTACGGAAGAATCCCGAGATTATTGCCGCAGGTCGAGGACGTCGTTGGTGAAGCCAGGATGCAGGACGAGTCGGGCATGGATGGCCCACGGCATGTCCATAGACTGCGAGAGATCTCGGTAGGCAGCTGTATCCAAGCTCTTGCCGAGCATCGCCTGCGACTTGCGGACAAATCTCGGACCTCCCTGGCAGGTGAGCAGCTGGACCTCAACACCGGCGACGCGGTGGAAATCTTTAGGAAGTCGCCTCAGAAGGATCGGCCTGGCTGGGTCGGACCAGCCACGGTCACGGACTTGACGGAGCTGGAACACGGCAAGGTGACGGTGCGATGGCAAGGCAGACATACCACGGTGCCGGTGGAGAGTCTGCGACGGGCCATGGTGTATATGACGAAGTTTCTGGATACGTGCGTAAGTCCGATATGCCGCAGCGATGTGATTACAGCCTGGAAGTGTATCGTTGGTTTCGCGAACTCTTTGGGACGTCAGACTTCCACGCTGGGCTGGATGCGAACGGCAGCAGGATGGCAGTTAACAGCGGATGCGATCAAGCATGGTATGGTGTTATATGCGAGACTGGATGTTGCACACAACCTGATGAAGATGCAGAACTGCCTGGCTGGAGCGCGTGCTCAAGGGGTGTCGAGATTGACATCATTGAGTGAAGGGGCGCTAGGTAGTGTGGTTGTGTTCTGGTCGCAGGATAACGAGACGGACTACAAGTATATCATCATCGAGGGTGGCCAGAGTGTGAACATGGAGGTGCTTTTGGGAGATCAGGGTAACTGGAGGCAGACATACTTGGTCCAGTTTTGCTTCTACGGTGCATCAGTGGTGGCAGACGCACAGAGAGAAGAGCCAGGAGTACCACAGCTAGGAGGAACACACATGGAGAGACATAACAACTCGCCGGTGGTGCTATCTCCGATCGCGATAAGCGATACGTCAGATAGAGGAGTAGGAGAAGTACCAGTGGCAGCCGATGATGACGAAGATTTTGATCAAGCTTTCTGGACGGCATGGCAGAAAGAACTGGAAGCTGAGGGCCCGCACTTGACGATAACCACGGAAGAGGAAGAGCGGAATGCAGTGCTATGGTCGTCCACGCCGCCAGAAGTTGATTATGGACAGGTTGACGTACTGATGGGATACGAGTACTTGCATGCGTATGCAGAGTTACAACCCAGATATCATTTACACCAGGATGAGGATATTCATATGTTATCCGAGTTTGATACAGACGTGAAGACTTTTGCGACAAAGCTTTCACACAATAACCGCGAGGTGCTGAGGATGATCCTGCAGGAGTATGCAGAGTTTCAGCTACCTGTTGGACTGGCTTATCTGAGTGGATACCTACCAGAGGAAACCACTTGGAAGGATGGTGATGTCTGTGTTTTGCATGCGGACAAGGCCAGCATCAAGATAGCATTGATCGAGACAAACAAGACGCAGTCCAACATGGCCGTATCTGAGGAAGATCTGAAGAAGCATCCAGAGCTGGCAAAAGCAGCAGTACTGGCCGAGCTTCTAAGATGGACGAACAACGAGTCGAGCAGGAGGCAGCCCAAGAAGAACGCCTGGAACTCATTGGCATCGCGATATGTTTTCACGTGGAAGCTACAGAATGATGGAACCCGCATTATGAAGTGCAGATTGACCGTTCATGGATCAAGGATTTGGAGCGCAGGCGTCTGGACAAGTTTAGTAGAACGGCAAGCTTATGGGGTCAGCGCGCAGTTGTTTGTGGCTACGGCAGTGCAATCAGATTGGCCGATTGCCTCTTTCGGTATATCAATGGCGTTTCTCAAAGGATTGACGTTCGAGGAGGTGCAGCAGATCAGAGAAGGACCGAAGCGACAAGTATCCATGATGCTGCCCCGAGGACGTGGAGGAGTCGAACCAGCAGGGAGTGCAGTTTTAAGGACCATCAAGGGCTTCGAGAACTTCAACGATGCCACGGAGTGCTTGGACATGTTGAAGGGAGGTTTTGGATTGATCGATGCGCCGAATCTATTCACGATGAAAGCTGATAAGGTTCTGAAGCAGGAGAATATCAGGCCGACGATATCATATCCCAAGATTTACCTGAAGTTTGAGAAAGGCAAATTGGTCTTGATGGTGAGCACTCATATGGATGATTATAAACCCATTGGCGAAAAGATGACCCTGATTAGTTTTCATACGATGTTGCAGAAACACTTTGGAGCTGATGTGAAGTTGAATGTAGAGCACTCAATTATACACACTGAAATTCGGCATCGAATTTTGGAGAATGGCAAGTGCATCGTATTAGATCAGTTTGGCTATGCTGCATCTATCAAACCGCTGGCAGTTAGTAAGTTTTATGATTTCAAGGACGACCTGCCGCTGAATGAGGAGCTGAACGCATGTTTTCTTACCTTGCTGGGAGCTTTGGCCTGGCTGGTACAGACGCGAGTGGACATAGTGATCTATGTCAGTTCTTTGCAGCGCATTGCCAAGAAGCCAACTATCTTGGACCTTAAGCGCAGTAACAGTCTCTGTAGGTATGTCAAGAATCATTCTCACGGACTTGAGTATCGCAAGATCGACATGCCAGTTTCTTTGATTGCTGTAGGCGACAGTGCCTATCAGGCACCAGCTGACGCTGAGTCCGCTACAGATCCTCTGGTGATGCGAGGATATGTTATTGCTCCAGCTCATTATAATGGAGGAAGTAGCACTTATAAGCTACATATGCTGACGTCTGCTCGAGGCAAACAGAATCATGTATGTCGTGGCGTCTGGAGTGCTGAGATTCACAACTAGTGTGATATGCTATACATGTTAGTTATAATAATGTCTTTCTTTGAGGAGGTTCGTTTAGGACCCCAGTCTGCTGTAGAGATGAAAAGAATTTGCCAGGCTGGTGAGTTCGTGCTGTCAGGTGAAGCTTTCACCGACTCAGGCTCGCTGTTCAGCCACTTAGAAGCTGACCATTTAAAGTTTCCATCAGACAAGGGGACGTTCTTTCATCTAGCTTATATAAGAGAGCTTTTGAGAACGCGCGTTTCGAAGGCATATTACCGGATCGATACGAGAGACATGTGTGTTGATGGTTTAACGAAGGGAAAACTGGACAGGTTTTCCCTGCATGAGCTGATGAGTGGCAGATGGAAGCTTGCTCACGCTAGTAAGACGCTGCATGCTGACAACATGCAGGCTATTGCTAGTCAGATACCAGCCGGTGCTATGCAGATTTCGGCAGGTCAATCCTGCGCAGTAGAAACATGAGAACTGCACAGGTTTCCCCTGCGAGAACTCCACAAGCTAACCGCGCCACAGACAGGTACTTATAGGGACTTGCTGGCTAGGCCGAACGCACGGCTGAGGATGGCCATGGGTATCACCATGGTATGTCATCAGTCAGAGTGGGGGGACGTGCGGTCTTGCAGTTTCCCTTGGCGAGTTATGTTTCTTATTGTTGTTATTGCTGTTTTGGTGTTGATGTTGTTGGTGTTGGTGTTGTTGTCGTCGTCGTCGTCGTCGTCGTCGTCGTCGTCGTCGTTGTCGTCGTCGTCATCGTCGTCGTCGCCCCGGCGGGTGGGTCGCGGCGCGGGTGGGTCGCGGCGCGGGCGGGTCGCGGCGTTGGCGGGTCGCGGGTGGTTTGCAGCGCCGATGGGCCGCGGCGCGGGCGACTCGTTCAGTCCCCGCGTGGCCGTTCTTGGGGCCGTCTTGGAAACGTCTTGGGGCCCTTGTGGAGCCCTCTTGGTGTTCTATTAGGGCCCTCTTGGGGCCCTCTTGGGCCCCCAACCCCAAGATGGTTCCAAAGGGCCCCCCCAGATGGCCAAAATAACGGTCACGCGAGAGGGGCTTCGCGTGACCGCTTTTGGGGCCCTTGGAGCCATCGATGGGGCCCTCTTGGGGCCGTCTTGGGGCCCCAGCGCGAAGGTCTACAGTATAGATCTTCGCCCTGGGCTCCCCTGGTCGTGCGAAGATCTACATTGTAGATGTTCATCCTGGGCCCTTCCTGCCCTCAGAGGCACTCGCTCTCGGGGCCCTTTGGGTGTTTTTGGGGGAATTTTTGTGGCACCAGCACGACGATTTACACTGTAAATCTTCAATATGGTGCCCCTCAGACGGCTCCGAGAGGGCTCAGAGGAGCGGTCGCGCGAAGCCGCTCTCGAAAGAACGGCCTTGGGGCCCTCATGGGGGCCTTTCCCGTCGCCGTCGACGTCATTGACACCATCGTCGCTGCGCGCCGTCATCGGGCCGGCGCCGGCCGGCCGGCCGGCCGGAGGAGGAGGAGGAGGAGGAGGAGGAGGAGTAGGAGGAGGAAGAGAAGGAGGAGGAGGAGCAGGAGGACGGCGACGGCGAGGAGAGGAGGCGGAGGAGCACACTGCAAGGATGATAAGGTGGAGGAGGACCAGGAGGATGACGAGGAGAAGGAGAACAGAGGAGGAGGAGGAGGAGTAGGAGGAGGAGGAGGAGGAGGGGAAGGAGGATGATGATGATGATGATGATGATGATGATGATGAGGAGGAGGAGGAGGAGGAGGAGGAGGAGGAGGAGGGGAAGAAGAAGGGATTCGCTCGGGGCCATCAGTTTTTGGTCAGAGGGCAGGGCACAAGAGAGCCCCAAATCGGATCCAAGAGGGCCCGACGGGGGAGCGCCACGCCCCGATGGGTCCAAGGAACCCGATACAAACAAAAACATTGGCGAGGGCCCTGCAGCTGCCCGGCGCCCGAAAGGTTCCAATAGCTAATGTAAATTTCGGGATCCGAATGGAAAAAGAGGGGGCGTGAACAACCGAGGGGCCACCCTTATTCGATTGATGACCTTCAGGATGCCCCCAAGAGAGCCTCGAGAAGGAGAGCCCCGAAGGCTTCGAAAATGCCCCAAGAGGTCCCCACGATAGCCGCAAGCTGTTTCAAACAAAGCCCTCCGAGCGTGACTGCGTCAGGGCCACCTCTCCTCTCCGCCGCGACGCGGGCCCCGGAGCTCGACCCCATCCTGGTGCGATTTCTCGTCGCGGGTCGATGTTCGATGGCCCTGTGGCCCTACGGGTGCATGGGCGCATGGTCGGATTCGACGCGCTTCCCTCTCGTCCTCTGGCTTCTGCAGCCTTTTAGGTTCTTGAGGATTTCCTCTCGGCCCGTCGACCCCCCGCCACGTGTCGCCGAGAGCGCGATGGCGCCGGGCGGCAGGACCCCTCCAAGTTCCCCGCCACCCGCCCCCAAGTTCCCCGCCCCCCCCCCCCCCTTCCTTCGGGGAGGGGAGAAGGGGGGAGGAGGACATGGATGAAACGGAGGAGGAGAAGGAGGAGGAGGAGGTGGAGAAGGAGGAGGAGGAGGACGAGGAGGAGAACGGGCAGGCGGGCGACGAGGGGGGCGAGGAGAGGGGAGGAGGAGGAGGAGGAGGAGGAGGAGGAGGACGACGAGGAGAAGGGGAGGCGGAGGAAATGAAGGACATGGAGGAGGAGGAGGAGGAGGAGGAGGAGGAGGAAGACCACGAGGTGCATTGCGAACCATTTCTCCCAAGGATGAGGGCCAAGGCCCCAGCAGCTGGCGCCGGCGGCGCTGGGCCCGCGCGCACGCTGAGCAGCAACCCGAAGGACCGGCCGCAGGCTCGGGCAAGGGGACGGGCGTCAAGAGAACTATTTCAAACAAAACAATGGGATTGTCTATCTCGTTGTTTTGGAAATACTTCTCTTAGACAGTATGGACAAGTGAAAAGGATGGTGATGTTGGTGATGCTGAAGACGACGATGATCATGATGCTGCCGATGATGATACTGATGATGATGATGGCCAGGCTGTTGATGCTGTTGATGATGTTGGTGCTGGCGCTGACGATTGTGCCAGTGTGAATGGTTCGGAAGACGATGGTGATGATGATGATGATGGTGACGAAGATGATAATGGTGATGGTTGGGATGCTGATGATGATGCTGCCGATGATGATGATGATGATGATGATGATGATGACGATGATGATGATGATGATGATGATGACGATGGACAACGGAGGGGTAGGAAATAGGAGGACACGGACGAAACGGAGGTAAAGGAGGAGGTGGAGGAGGAGGAGGAGGAGGAGGAGAAAGAGGAGGGCGACGACGGCGGCGAGGAGTACAGCACGAGGAGGAGTAGAAGAGGCATGACAAGGATACCGAAATATCTGAAGGCCTTCGGCCCGCCCCGCCACCGCGTCTGCGCGGATGCAGTTTTGAAGCCTCTTGGGGGGCAGTTCTGGGGCTGCCTGGGGCATCTCGCGGGCTTCTCGGGGCCTGCTGTGGGCCTCGGGCCCCCCCCGGCGCATCCTGAGCCAGTCGCGGGGCCTCCTGGGGGCCTTCGTGTGGCGGAAGGCTCAGATCTTCTTTTCGCGTTCCCTCTTTGGGCCCCCTTTTTTGGGGCTGTCGTGGGCGCCTCTTGGGCCGTCCTGGAGCGGTTTCAGGCCGTGGGGCAATTTTGGAAGCCCCTAGGCCCGTTGCGGGGCACCCCGGGGGGCGTGTTGGGACGTCTCGCAGCGCCGGCTAGCCGAAGAGGCGAGAAAACCAACATCAGCGCAACAAAAAACACGTTTGGAAAACCAATGATTTTATATTTCGGGGCCCTCTTGGGAAGCCTCTTAGGGCACCTTGGAAGCCTCTCGGGCCGTGTTGAGGCTGTCGTGGACGTCTTGGCCACGTTTCTTCGGCGGCCCAGGGCCCTCTTGAACAATCTTGGGGGCGCCGCGGAAATCGCGCGGGGGGCCGCGGTGGGCCCCGAGGGGCACGCAGAAACCCAGGGAGATTTGAGCACGTAGGCCCTAGGCCCCTGATGAGGAAGCAAAGGGCCTGAGGACAGCGTCCTCATGTCCATTGTCCTCTGGCCCACCCCGCGCCCAGAGGCACGGTGGCGGATTTGTAGCAGGAGCGAGGATCCTCCCGCCCAGGCGCTCTCCTGCGTCAACGCCAACCACTATGCGAGCGTGGACACGGCCCTGCGCAACATTCTGGCGTGCGATGCGTTCTCGGACATCCTCGAGGCCCGGATGGGCGACCACGAAAACCACGCGAGGGAGGAGGCGGGAGGAGAGGGAGGAACAGAGGGAGAGGAAGGAGCGGGGGATGGGGAATCTAGAGCGTGGAGAAAGCACCCGGGGCCTTTGGTTCGAGCGGGTTCGGCAGGGGATTTATAGTCGGTTCGATTCCAGACTCCGGCTTCTGGCCGCCTAAGCTTCGCATCGGGTTTGGCGCGCGTCGTTTCTTGCGATTTCCGATGTGGCTGCCGATGGCTGCCCGTTCGATGCGTTTCGAGTTCCGATCGGTTTCCCGATTACCATTCGAACATGAATTTGCCATCCCCCAGGCCCGCCCATTGGACATCAACGACGGCGGCAACGCGCTGCCGTGCGGGAAGCAGGCGGCGTTCGACTACGACGCCTACGTCAACGCCATCCGCACCGCCGGCGAATACAGATGCTCCGGCAACTTCTTTTGGACCGACAGCGCTTTCTCGGTCACGCCCGGGGTTCAGCGGCTTTAACTGCAAGGGCCAGGAGGAGGAAACCAAGAAGGAGGACGAGGAAGAGGAGGAGCAAAATGAGGAGAAAGAGGTGGAGGATGAGGACGAGGAGGAGGAGGAGGAGACGGAAGAGTAGGAGAAGCAGAAGATGGAGGAGGAGAAGGAAGGGAGGGAGGAGGAGGGGGGGGAGGGGAAAGGCTTGAGGACGCGGAGGCGCCAGGGGGGCAAGTGGAGCACGCAGCCCAGGTTCCCATCCGCTCGGGGGCCGTGAATGCTCTGAAGGACGTCCGCTTCAAGGTTGCGCGGACGCAGAACAACATTGAGGTCCGGCGGCCTGGGGAAGAAGACGGCGGCGTCGGCCCGACGACCTCGGCAGCGGTGGCGGCGCGCCCCTCGCGCTGGAGCGTTGGGCGCACCCGTCGTCGGACGATGGGGGCGTCGAACGTTTCGACGCGACCCTCCAGCCCAGGTCGTGGTCGCGGTGGGCCCGGCTGACTCGTTCGACCCGCGCAGCCACCTTGGGGCGTTGCAGCGGGTCAGCGCCGACGAGGAATCGCACGCCTTGATCCTCCGCGTGGCGGAGGATATATACGCCGAGGTGTCGGAGGAGGAGACGGCGCCCTCTGTCGCGAGTCGGCGCCCATCCCGTCGCCGTCGTCGTCGCCGTCGCCCGCTGCCTCCTGAGGGGGATTGGGGCGACGGCGACTACGACGTCGAAGGGGCTCTTTTAATCTTCAAGTGTATCCTACTCTTTGTCCTCATCGTGGCCCTGTCTTGCCCCGCTCACTTGCGCCTCCCCTCAGAGGAGCTGCAGACGTGGCGGCACACCTTCCTGACGACGTCTTTCGTCTTTAAGGTGTTGGAGTCCGAGGACCGCGTGTGAAATCGGAACCGATCCCACTGGGGGTCAGTCCTGGTGGGGGGGGGAGGGGGTGCGTGCGCGCGTGTGCACGTGTGTGCGTGTGTGTGAGTGTGAGAGTGCGTGTGTGTATGTTTGCGTGTGTGTATGCGTGTGTGTGCGCGCGTGTGTGTATGTGTGTGCGTGCGTGCGCGTGTGCGCGCGCGTGCGCGCGCAGATGCACGCGCCCACACGCGCGCACGCACGCGCACACGCACGCGCGCGCACACACACACAAACACACACACACACACGCACACACACACACACACCGCACGCACGCACACGCGCACACGCACACCGCACAGCGTGTGCGCGTGTGTGTGCGTGTGCGTGCACGCGCGCGCGTGCACCCCCTTACCGCCGAGGAGGTAAGTACTGGGGCTGATGAGACGCGCAACTTTGGACCCCAGTCAGGATGACAAGCGCAAAGAAGGGCTGCAACTGAGGATCAACCTGGGCGTCACGGCAGACGCCGTAGTCCGCACGCCTGTTCAGATGATATTTGAGATCGTCGCCTTCCGAGAACGCCGAGCTGCTGTCACGAAGGACAGGGCGACGGTCAAGGCACGACCGGGCGCAATCATTCGTACCCCCGTCCCCCTGGGTGATCCCCGCTCCCCATGGGGGGTGAAACGAACAAGCAGGCAACTAGGGTTGGTCGCCCCACGTCGGCCTGCAAGTCGCGGGGAAGCCGACGTTTCCCCCAGCCCCCCGCCTCCCCGCTCCGTCGCTGCAAGGGGAGGACTTCCCCCAGCTGGATGGAGGAGGAGGAGGAGGAGGAGGAGGAGGAGGAGGAGGAGGGGGAGGATGATGATGAGGAGGAGGGAGGAGGAGGAGGAGGAGGAGGAGGAGGAGGAGGAGGACTAGGACAAGGGGGGGTCGGAGGAGGAGGAGGAGGAGGAGGGGTAGGAGAAGGAGGGAGGAGGAGGAGAGGAGGAGAAGGAGGAGGAGGAGGAGGAGGAGGAGGAGGGGGGGAGGAGGAGGGAGGAGGGAGGAGGAGGAGGAGGAGGAGGAGGAGGAGGAGGAGGAGGAAAAAGGGGACGAGGAGGAAGAGGAAGAGGAAGAGGAGGCGGAGGAGGCGGGAGAGGAAGAATGAGGAGGAGGAGGAGAAGGAGGATAAGAGGGATATGGATAAGCAGAAACAGCAGGATGACGAGGAGGGGGGGGGCAGAGAAGGACGGACCGGACGACGACTAATGATGGCCCCCATCAGGCAGTCCATGAGTTCTGGAAGACCATCGATCAGAAGGTGACGATGGAGTACATCCAGAGCGCGGTGTTCATCTGGGATAACCTCTTGAAGTTCCCACTCGCCCAGCGCGTCATCCTCAAGCTGGAGGACTACCCGGGCGCGAAGAAGTCGCCCTTCGACAGCCCGACGAGGATGGAGGACATCATCAGGGCCACGGGTGACAAGGACGGGGGGCCGAGGATCAACTGGGTTCTCGGGGGGCTCGCGGACCTGATCTTCTGCCAGTTGGCGGAGCCCGGGGAGTTCTCTGTGAAAAATTTAACGGGGAAGGGCATGGGCGGCAAGGGCCTCGTCCATTTGCTGCTTGCCAAGCTGGACATCATCAGGTTCGTTGTGAACGACTTGTGCATGTCGGCCTCGATCGACCCCCAGACTGCGCAGGCGCTGCGCGAGATGATGACGAGCCACGAGAAGGCGAGGGAGTCCCTGGGATACCCGAGCGCCCCGGTGGATCGCTCGTGGGTGGGCTTGCTGCCGGCGTCCGGGCAGATGTTGATGAGGTTGGCCATCGACACCGTCTTCTCTATCAAGCACGACTGGGCCGTGAAGGCGGCGTTGAAGGCTGGGAAGGATGTCAAGGGCATCATCGACGCGACGCCGTTCAAGGAGCTGCTCGACGACGTCAAGAAGGAGAGGCAGAACGAGCTTGGGATCCAGCCGCCGAGCGCCGGCGGCGGCGGCGACGACGCCGCGGGGGTCGGCGACGTCGAGGCGACGGGCGCGCTGGACGACATCGCGCTGAAGTCGAAGGACCCTGCTAACGAAAACAAGGAGGAGGGGGAGGAGGAGGAGGAGGAGGGGGAGGAGGCGGAGGAGGAGGAGGAGGAGAAGCAGGAGGATGATGAGGAGGGGGAGGAGGAGAAGGAGGAGCGGCAGCAGGCGAATGAGGGAGGAGGGGAGAGGAGGAGGAGGAGGAGGAGGAGGAGAGGAGGAGGGAGTAGGAGGAAGGAGGA